ACATTTTTACGATTTTTTTTTTTTTTTTTGTATTTTAAAAATACGTCTATATAATTTTGTAACTGTACTTTCAAAGATTTTTTTCTTTCAAACATTTATTATTTAAAGACTTCCTAAGTTAAAATGCATCAGTGTATTTTAGTATCATTATACACTATTATAGTTTTTAATACTATTTTGAATTAGCTTTTTTTTTTGTTTCTATCTTCGTTTTAATTTTAGTTAATATTTTATTAATTTTGTTGTTTTTTTGTATTTTAAAAATATGTCTATATAGTTTTATGGCTGTACTTCCAATTTTTTTTTTTTTACATTCAAACATTTATTACTTACAGACTTTCTAAGTTAAACTGCATCAGTGTTATTTTAGTATCATTTATACCTTATTAAAGTTTTTATTAATATTTTGAATTCGTTTTTATACTTTGTTTTCATTTTAATTTTAGTTAACGTTTCAGTCATTTTTGTTTTGTGGCTATACTTTTAATGATTTTTTTTTTACTTTGAAACATTTCTTATTTATAGACGCTCATTTAAAATGCATGTGTTGTTTTAGTATTATTTATAGACTTGATGTTTTTATTCATATTTAATTTTTAAATTCATAATACATATTTTTATATTTTCTGTTTACATTTGAATTTTATTTAATGTTTTTGTAATTTTTTTTAAATGTCTATATAGTTTGTTTTAATATATTAGTTTTAGTTATTTTAGTATTTCAAGCTCAGCTAAAAAATAAGAAAAGTTTTCTGTATTTTATTTCAGTTAACGTTCATTTCAATTAACAAAAATGTTTTTTTTTTCTTCTTTTTTTATGGATTTAGTTTGTTAACAATAATAATAAGTGCATTAATGTAAATGATTTTTGCATGTTTTTACAAACATTTTACATTGTAATCATCAGCAGGCCACAGAATATTACTGAAAATGTTTTTGCTATTTTCTGTATGAAGGTGAAGACGGTGAAAGTGATAATGTGTCCGAGTCTGATGGCGGGGTCCTGGGTGTAGTCCTCCACCAGTGAGTGGTAATGAGTGGAGATCTTCTCTGACAGCTCCTTCACCACTGCGCTCGCAATGGCTGTGCCGTCATACGTGGCCGTACCTCTGCCTGCAGTTCAAGCAGAACAAAAGCTTTGAACTTATTCAAATTTAGAATCGTGTTTTCCGTGTACTGTGGGTGCAAAGTTTAATGTGAGATGAGCAACTAAATTACCCAGTTCATCCAGCAGGACGAGGGAGTGGTTGGTGGCATGCAGCAGGATGCTGGCCGTCTCGCTTAGCTCCACAAAGAACGTACTTTCACCTAGAAAACAAAACACAGTCGATTCAGAGTAAAGCTCACACATGAAGATTGAACGGATAAGAAACAAGTGGCAATTTACCTGACATTATACGATCAGAGGCGCCAAGACGAGTGAAGACTCGGTCCACGGGAGAGAGACGCAGACTCTCAGCAGGTACATAGCAGCCCAGCTGGGCCAAAATCACCACCAGAACAGGAATACTTTAATTAAAAAATTTTTTTAATTTTGAATTTAACTGGGCATTCGCCATTTAGGTCACTTCAATAGTCTTGCGTTATAAGAAATTATTTTTTAAAAGTACAATTATTCCATACAATTAATATGAGGGTCAACAGATTTGTGTAGTTATACAATATTTCCCACCCCTTTTGAACAATAAATTCCTTTTAATTTTTTTAAAAGATTTTCTAAAATTATATATATTTTAAATAATATAAAAATGCCAATTTTATGATATTAATATTTTTTGTTTACTGACAGAATTTCCAGGCCTGAACAACAAAACAGGCTCAAACCACATCCTTCTTCCTGCCTGAACAGCTGCTCAACACATGGGGTGAAATTTGCCTAAATGTTTCTCGACTACATTCAGAGCCACTCACTATTAAATGATTAAGGTTAGAGGGGTATAATTATCTGCTCTGACAATAATTCGATTACAGTTCTTTACTAAATAATGCAATGCACAATAAAATTCGGTCATGATTCAGTTCAAAATTCTTTTGGTGTGGTTCATAATTATTTTCAAATACAAATGTAAAATGTCATTTACTGCTTTTGCGACACTGGACATCACACCAGATCTGAATGTTTAAATTTTTAGATGTTTAAAACCAAAAACATGTCAAGAATTGGATTTCTGTTATTGCACTGTTATTCAGTGCACTGAATTATAATTTAAGATTTGTGGACAGTTTTACACCCAAAAAAACCCACAATGCTTACTTTCATTACCCTTTCACTAACACACACACCATGAACATTGTTTTTGTTGAACATTGATTAGCAACACTCACCTGTCTCATCAGGGTGGACTTGCCTCCCATGTTTGGCCCGGTGACTAGTACCCATGGGGCAAGTGCTTTACCGTTATCTTGACCCTCTTCTTCTTCACCACCAGGGCAACCGATGAAGATGTCATTGGGGATGAAATCATCACCGAAGAAGGTTTTGGTGATGCAGGGGTGACGGGACCCTCTGAGATCCAGGAAGGGGTGTGACTGAGACCTGTCACCCGGGAGAACTATCTCTGGTCTTGCCATGGGCCCATCGCCGCTCTGACTGTACCGGGACATGCTCAACAGCACGTCTGCAGAGGTGGTGAGAACAACAGGAACCTATCATGGTGCATTCTATTACCAATATCATTCTAGTACCAATGTCACAATATTACTTTTGGACCAAAACATTTCACAGTTCCTAAAAATCTTAAATGATGAAAAAAAAAAAAACCTTTCAAATTGAACATGCCATGTGTTTTTAAATGCCTTGCTGTAGTTGTGCATGCAACCATTCTGTAGCTATTTTCAATGCCAAACAATGCAACATGCTGCTAAAACCTTTGAATTAATTGAATTCATTTACATGCACAGTCTTGCACATTATGCTTAAGGCAACAACCTGTAAGGCTACATAAACACCTTAAAATGTTTCAGGAAATGATCACACAAAACCTGTATCCTTGATTTCGAACGTGAATGTCTGACTTTTTAAAGTTGCAGGGCAGTGGAATGGGAAAAAAATGCAAAAAGATGCATTTTTTAAAAACTTTCTTTAAACTTTTAACTTCTTTTAACTGTCTTGTTAATGCCCAAGATGCTGCAAAAGATGCAAGTGCAATGTTCAAAGGACATCTGTGTCTCGCAATGTCAGCTTATTGATTTACACACAAACCTTTAAAACAGGTTTTAAAGGGGTCATATGATGCTTTTTTAAAGATAATTATTTTGTGTATTTGGTGTAACAGAATATGTTGACATGCTTTAATGTTCAAAAAACACATTATTTTTCAAATACTGTACATTATTGTAGGCCCTCTATGCCGCAGACTTTCGAGATCCGGAAGCTTCTTTAGCAGGTCTGTGACTTCAGTTGCTTGGGACGGCGCACCCATCAGGTCCTCCAGAGCATCTAGGCGATCTCCAATGGAGGATGGATTGCAAAGAGGGGCGCAGAGGCATTGCTATAGCAAGCGTTTGCCAAAGGGAGTGCAACATGTGTCCAGTCGCTCAAGTAGGGTTCCCTCAGGACCTCCAGTTGAGCTGTAGAGAGCTCTGTAATTCAATTCTTACTAGTAGCAATTAATTAGAGATCTATAATTCAATTCTTACTAGTAACAGTTCATTACATATCTCTATAATTCAATTCTTACTAGTAACAATTCATTACAGATCTCTGTAATTAAATTCTTACTAGTAACAATTCACATTAGAGAGCTCTAATTCAATTCTTACTAGTAGCAATTCATTAGCGAGATCTATAATTCAATTCTTACTAGTAACAGTTCATTACATAACTCTATAATTCAATTCTTACTAGTAACAATTCATTAGATAGTTCTATACTTCAGTTCTTACTAGTAACAATTCATTAGAGAGCTCTAATTCAATTCTTACTAGTAGCAATTCATTAGCGAGATCTATAATTCAATTCTTACTAGTAACAGTTCATTACATAACTCTATAATTCAATTCTTACTAGTAACAATTCATTAGATAGTTCTATAATTAAATTCTTACTAGTAACAATTAATTAGAGAGCTCTGTAATTCAATTCTTACTAGTAGCAATTCATTAGAGAGATCTATAATTCAATTCTTACTAGTAACAGTTCATTAGATAGTTCTATAATTCAATTCTTACTAGTAACAATTCATTAGAGAGCTCTATAATTCAGTTCTTACTAGTAAGAATTACAATTAGAGAGATCTTTAATGCAATTTGTACTAGTAACAATTGATAGTTTTCACGTGGCGTCACACCCTTACAGGAACGCCCACATGGAGGATAAAACAAGGCTTTCCTCCGCTGACTGCCAGTTATTTTTATGACGTTTGCATTAAATAGTAATGTAGCAAGACAGTGATATTTAAAGGCCAAATTCAGTATACACCTTATTGATGATGCATACTTTGTACAGGCAAGCAGATGAACCCAGAATATAAACGCAATGCACAAAGTTTAATATTAAATGTTTTCCCATTGAAAACCATTATAAAGAAGATGCTTAACCATTTAGCGCATTGCGTTCGTATTCTGGGCTCATTTGCATGCCTGCATAAAGCACACATGATCAATAAGGTGTGTACTGAATTTGATCTTTTAATATCACCGTTTAAAGGCACTTTAAGTATTTTCACATTAAACGCTTTAGAATGTCCCGCTGTTTTTAATGATTGAAATATTGCGGTGGGTGATTTATATGGATTGCTAATGGCCAAGACTTGCATTTTGTTCACACATCTTTGTTTTATTCGTTTGACAGATGATCTATATATTTTTGGATAGGAACAGATAGAAAATCGACAGACTTGTGCTGCAGTTCTATGGATGTTTTGCCCGCCAGGTCTTCGAGCCGGTCACGTGACGGAAAACTATCAATTGAATTAGAGAGCTCTGCAATTGCATTCTTACTTGTAACATTTGAATTAGAGAGCTCTACAATTTAATCCTTGCTATAGTAGGAATTACAATTAGAGAGCTCTAAAATTTAATCCTTGCTATAGTAGGAATTACAATTAGAGAGCTCTAAAATTTAATCCTTGCTATAGTAGGAATTACAGTTAGAGAGCTCTCTAATTCAATTGTTACTAGTAAGAACTGAATTAAAGAGCTCTCTAATTCAGTTACAGAGCTCTGCAATTAAACATATCATTAATGTGTTTTTTTACTAGTAAAAATTAAATTATAGAGCTCTGTAATTACATTTCTACTAGAAAGAATTAAATTAGAGAGCTATTTATTTGTAATTGTTACTAGTAATTGGAATTCTTACTAGTAAAAAGTGATTTAGAGAGCTCTCTATCTGTGATTGTTACTAGTAAGAACTCAATTGTAGAGCTCTGTAATTAAAAATGAATGGAAGTCAATAGAGACATGACTAGTAAAAATCACTGATTTATAATAGTCATTATATAGATCAGTGGTAAAAATTCATTTGTAGTGATCTCTAATTGTAATTGTTATAGTAAGAAGCTCTCTACTTGAATTAGAGAGCTCTCTAATCATAATTATTACAAGTAAGAATTGAATTAGAGTGCTCTCTAATTGTAATTTTTACTAGTATGAATTTAATTGTACAGCTCTGTATTTAAATTCTTAAAAATGCAATTATGACGAGTAACGCTGGGGATGTTTTAAGCTAAAACGGCTGGCCACAGGTGTATGCATTTTGTTAGAACATGCTTGTGCGCTCGTTTCCCATTGTTTTTCTGCATAAACGTGCTAGACTGACGTCTTTGACCGTTGCGTTCGCATCACGTATGATACTAACGGCTCTGGATACGGCGCTTTAAAAACGTGATGCTGAAGTTACGCATGCGTTCTGTGTGAGCCAAAAAAATAAATAAAAAATTAGTAGAATTAATAGAAATGTAAAAAAAAATAAATAAATAAAGACAGAGAGTTGTGTCTACTAGTAATATATTCATATGAGACGTATAAGAGGGCGCTAGCAAGCCAAATTTCAAATATAGGCTATCTCAGGATGCATTTTTTTTTTTGGAGACATTTTTGCACTTGAACGTGTAATTGTTTATATATATTAATACCATGCAATCGTACCTGTGATACAAATTAAATTCCTCCCCAATAATTGCTATATTGTTGTAATCACCTTAGAACTCTATTATGTCTATCTTGACCAGCGCGGAGAAAAGTACTGTTACTTTCCTCAGCGATGTAAGGATGGACCAATCACAGTCGTTTGTCGTGGTCAAATCAGAAGCGATCTTTGAGCGTTGCGCTCGCCTCTAAGAGCACACACACACACAGAAAATTATATATATATA